ATGTTTGTTTTTTTTTCCTTGTTGCGCTCATTTTTTTTTTTTTTTTTTGCAATTTGAAATGTTATCAGGTATTCGCAGGGATGGGGTGAGGTTGAAAATTTTCACCCGCCTCGTGGTCATCCCTATCCCCACCCCACCACCACGCCATCACCTCTACCTCCACCTTTGTCCCACCACGGCCAACACTAGAGAAATATTTTTTTCAAAAAGTATTTTCAAAAAAAAAAAAATGTAAAAAATGTTTTACATTAGAAAAGATTTTCCGCCTAAACAAACGGAACAAACGGAACAGTAATCACCCACCCTCCTTTAATATTTCCTTTTATTTATGAAGTTGAAATTTATTTATCTTTAAGTTGATGAATCATGATCACCAAGACTTGATCAATTATCTAAGTTGTCATGAAAAGGGCATTTTAAGTGTCAAAGTGAGTAAAATTTTAGGTTTGAGATTATAGAAAAATGTACTAATCGCTTTTTCTAAAATACTAATGGTTGGGTACGTACGTTGCATGTGATACGTGATTTTTTATCAACTGTTAGTACTGTAATTATGTGTATCTCTTAAATTGGTATGTGATATGTATACTAAGTATGGAAACTTGTATAAGTAAATTAATCTGTATCCAAAATACAACTAAACAAGAAATGAATATATACCTAGTTGAAAATTTAAATGATAAATAAGAAATTTTACAAACATAAATATTAATTTATAGCTGGATTGTTGAGATTACAATCTTCTCTTAAATAATAAATAATAAATAATAAACAAGTCATTTGAATTTATAGTATTACACAATTTTTTTTTTACCAACTTTTCACTTTAATTTTTCATAATATGTAGATTTAATACAATTGACTATATGGAATTAATTGCACAATTACACATTTTTATTTAATAGTTCATATCATAATGCAAATTCATTAAACCTGCTATTACATATTGTTTGAATATTATTGGTGTAATGCATTAATACCAATATGTAATATATTTTTATACATCAAGACTTATTGAGTCTCGTTTCATGTGTCACGAATATCTTGAATGATGAAAAATATAACATTAGTTATTAGTATATTTTCATTTATGCAGAAAATGTGAAATAGTTTTTTTAAGAAAATGAAATGATATTGTAGCTTAATATTTCGATCAATATAGGAATTTTATAATTGTTTTCATGATATTTATGCATTCATGCTTATAAGTGTTTGCAAAGTTATTTTCATGAAACTGTCAAGTTACATAATCTATTATGCCATCTGTAAATAATCAGCATATGACAAAAATTAATTGAAACATTTTATTTGATGTACTTACTTTCTACATCATTGAGTTGCTGCAATTATGTTTGGGCATCATTTGATCTTTTTTCTTATAATTTGACTAAAATGTATGCATGAGGTACATTGTCTTTCTTGAACTTTATAACAGATAGGACAATTCTTGTTTCAACTTGTCTAACTTTACTTAGAGAGCATGTTGTAATAGATTTTCTATAACTTTTTGTTTCACCTTCTTCTTGTTTTTCTTTTTACTCGCCATTATAACTCATTATAATAAACATATTTTGATGAGTATAAGTTTGAGGCAATATCATATTGTTATGAAATTTAAAATCCATTTTTCCTCAATAATATGATTTTTTTTTTTTTTTGGTGAAAAAAGTACAATTATTATTGTGATGGAAGTGTTTTGCAAAGTCTTAATTTGTTATTGAAAGTGTTTGTTGTAGACACTTATATGTATGACATATATGTATATATGTATTGAACATAAGTTGATAGAAGAATAATACATAATTTCACAACTTTTTCCTAACAAATATAACTACAGTACTAAAACGATACATATTAGAATTAAAGTATTGGATGGTAATATAGTATTACAGATTAATAATGTATGAATGCAATAACATATATAAATTTACATTTATATATATATATTTTATATATTTATATATGTAGACATTGATATATAAGATATCACAAAAATAATATGTGAAATCTTTTGTAACAATATAATACAAGTAATAAAGAGAAGTTAATTATTCATAATTAAACAGTTAGCCATAATGTAGATGTTTAGTGTTATATTTTTGTGTATATGCATCATTTTTTAATTAGATTATTAAATTCACATAAAAATTGAAAAAAATTGTGAATAATTTGTGTAAAATTAGAGATTTGTGAAGAAAAATTTAAAAAGAAGAAGTTTATAGTATTTGGTATTGTTGCTTTTTCAAACTTTTGTTTTGACTTTTTTGGTTTTCATGTTTTTTTTGTCTTTGACACTTTTTTTTTTTAATAACCATTTTATTTTTTTTTTAAAATTCACTTAATTTAATACTTTTTTACTTTTTAATTTTACTTTTGGATTTAGATTCATTTAATCTAAATACACTTAAAAAATAATTTGTTGTATATTCTTTTTGAAAAAAAAAGATTATTAATATTAAATAATAATAATAATAACAACAACAAAAAATATATATTATTAAAAAAATCAATACATGTTTGAATTTATAAATTTTTTTTTACTAATATTTTACTTTTAAATTCTATTTAGATTATTATATATTAGATTTTCATGTAAAAATATAATTTAAGTATAAAATATGAAGAAATTCCAGTATTTTTAATCACCAAAATTGAGAAAATATGAAAAACTAAAAATTAAAAAACATATTTAAAAATTAAAACCAACAAAAGTGGTTCTTGTTTAAAATTTATACCTTGGTTATTAAAATACTATGTAAAATATTACAGTTCATAAAATATAATTTAAACAAAAAAAAAAAAGGTGTATGAAGATAACCTGCGAATTTTTGATATGTAGTACAAATCTTTGTTTAAAAAACGCATGCACTTTCCTCTATCTAGATTCGAATAGATGCATACAACTTTAAAATTCAACCAAAATTATTTATAGTAATTTGATTCATGATAGACAATTATAGAAACAAACACAGAAAATAAGAATAGTAATTATTTTTTGCTCTTCAATTATCATCAATATAAAAAATAGGGAATCTTCAATTATGATCAATATAAAAAATAGGGAATCATTTTTGAGTATTCAATTCTAAAAATAAAAGAGATAGTTTATATAGGACTTTTCATGACTTTTAAAAAGTATAATAGATTTGAAGGTAAAATTAGGATTAAAAAAAATAAAAAAACATGGTAAGCTTTTTAGACTTTTATGATAGTAATAGATGTTTTTGTGTTTGTCAAATGATATCCTAGTTTTGTCCCTAGGTGAAAATGTTCTTACACATTTCATTTTTAATTATTTTGTATTTATATATTGTCTTCATTAGATTAGTTTGTTTGTAACCTCAGTGAAGACGAGTTAATGCAACCATAAGAACCTTATGAAATCCATAAACAAATAAAATCAGAATCAAAATCAAATCAAATCTTATAAAAATCAGTGTAATTTATTCAAAAACTTATCATAAAGAAAGAAAAGGTTAAAAAGGATAAAATCAAGACATAACAATCAATCAATAATGCTAAGGACTACAAAAAAATCTTATGAAACTCTACCTGACACAGCTTTGAAGCTCTATCTGACACAGCTTTGAATCAACTGGCCAATCAACTTTACCTGACACAGCTTTGAATCAACTGGTCAGTCAACTCACACGACTTTGAACTCATTTGAAAGGTGGATTGACTCGTTGGCTTTTTAATTTTTTTGACTATTTTGGTCTAGAGTTAAAAATTCTCGTTTGGGATAGACTTTTTGACTTTTTTAACTTTTGTAAAAGAAAAAATAAAATGATTATAATTTAGATGTAATACTTTGTCTTATTGACTTTTTAGCCTATTTTATCTTTTTATAATTATTTTAGCTCAGACTTTTTATGTCAAATGAAGCCTTTGTGATGAATTTTGTAAAACAATTTTCATCGTCTCAAGACTTATTGATAAAAAGGGATAAAATAGGACAGTAGTAGGCTAGGCTCCCCGAAATGATAGAGACTCCTTTTTTTCTTAATCCCCACAACCCTCACAGACGCATGTCAGTGAGTGATAGGAGGAAATAAAAAAAACAAAAATAAAAAGCAAAAAGTTGACAATCCCAATATATTGGGGATGGTGGGGGTCAAAAAAAAAATAAAATAAATAAGGGTCTCAATCTTTTTCTGCTAGGCTCCACACCCTGCTCAATTAGATGCTTGCTTTCAATAAAACAACACACAACAAAAGTCTTATGGTCATATAACATTTTTATGAAAGATAGTGATCCGGAGAGAAGTCATTCTCTTTTAAGAGATTACACAGAGTTTAAAGTGATTATCTTTTCAAGTAATGTGTATTACAAGCTTAGAATGAAAATTTAGGAATCTTATCCTAAAATCGAATAACCTATCTTTATCACATAATAAGTATTGAAAGCTAAAAATAAGAGGGACTTGAGTACATGACAATTCGAGCAATCATCCATTTTCATTTCACACATTAAAAAAACCCCAAAAAATAAAGGCACTAAGGGAATAAGGAACTTTCAGTGCATAGAACATGGATGCAAATTGCCATATAAAATTTCTCTGAAAACCCCAAGGTTTTGCAATGATGCACAAATAAAAAAATTTCAAGGTCAACCCCTTAACATAATAAATAGGTTCTTCACTACCCTTTTAAACACAACATTAGATTCTACAGTATTTTTGAGCTGTCATGAACTCTAAAGAATACATTTCCTTCAACCAGAAAAACACTAGGACGGAGAAATAGCCCCAAAACTTTGATTTTAAAAATATAACAGGGAATCAAATTTAATCTCGTGCATAATAGATTGTCAGGCTAAATCAATCAAGGAAGAAGCGATTTTTATTCTGCATTCGGGTTATGGAATCGTCCTCAAATTCAACGAGTTCCAGTGTTAGATGGACAAGACGAGAGAGAGATGCGAAGTCTCCTTATGACACCATGAAGAAAAAAATGAAAATGCAAAGAGATCAAGTTCGCCATAAAAGAAGTTAAGAGAATGAACAGAAATTTACCCACGTAAAACAGATGAAAGCACAAAAAGATACAATTTTAGAAGTTACCACTCCTTTCCACCAAATTTAAGTAAGAAATATTACGAAGTTCTCAATCGCAGACAAGATGCTCCCCAAACTGGTAATCAATCACATTTAAGAAAAGGAAGAAAATAAAAAATAAAATAAAAAATCTAAAGATAATACAAGCCTCTTTATATCTTATCTTTCTTTCCCCTATTCTGGAAATTGGAAAACACATAAAACAAACACATTCAGGTACTCAATATAATCCAATTGTACCTGCCTGCTCAACAGAATCCATTATTTGTGGTTGCTAGTGCCCTTCTTCTTAAGCAGGCTACCGAACTTGCGAAGCAAAGGCTTCTTCTTCTTTGGATGTTGTTTTGATGATGGGCTTTCTCCATTATCAAGGTTTTCTGCTGAGGATAAACCATTTAAATGATCATTGCTCTGACCACCCTCCACCTTTGAGTCCAGATCCTCTTCAAAGGATTCATGCTCTTGCTCTTGCTCTTGCTCTTGCTCTTGCTCTTGTTCTTTCTCAGGCAATAAGTCTTTCTCTCCAATCTTACAGGTCTCCCACATCTTAAACTCAACCTCTGCTGAATCTTCTTCTTCTTGTACTTTGCTCTCATAGTCTTTTTTTGGGTTTACATTTGAATTCTCAACTTCAGCAGTATCGGTATGAACTTCCTCATCGCACAAAACACTGTTCTCAATGGGAGGATTTTCTTTTACAGCTTGTTCACATTGTTGGGTTGGAAGCTCCGCTTTCATCTTCTCTTCTCTACCATCTCCATTCTGCTCAGAGAATTCTACCACCTTTGGGAGCATGTCATAATCTTTTTCACTGTCTGAAAGCTCACCATTTTCCTCAGCTTGCTTTTTGGCCATTGCTTCATCGAGCAATTTAGATAACTCCTCAATCTTCTTAAGAGAAGCAGCTTCTCTTGTTCGAAGCTCCTCGTTCTCCTGAATAACACTCTGCAATTCATTTTCTTTGTCCAGAAAACTTTCCTTCAATCCCATGGTCTCAGCCTTTGCTTCCCCAAGAACTTCCTGCAAATAAACCACCTCAGACTCAACTTCCTTCAGAGAGGTCTTTAGCTGAGTTCCTTCATCCTTTTTTGCCCAAGCTTCTTCCTCGGCCTCTTTCAGCAAATTTATCAGCCTGCTTATTTCTTTTCCCATTGAAGAGTTCTCATCTTCTGATTGCCTTACACAGTTCATCAAATGAAGCTCTTTTTGCTTCCACTCAGCCTCAGAATTCTGGAACTCATGCTTACATTGTCCAATTGAATTATTAAGAATAACAATCTCATGCTTCGCTTCATCAAGCATTGTTTCATACTTCTCATTTGTCGCTTTCAAAACCAACCTCAGATCCTCTATTTGGGCTTCATAACTTTCATTCTCTGCTTGGGTAGACAAAAGCTTTTCTTTGGCTTCTCTCGCTTCTGAAGAAACTTCATGCAAAGCTGCAGCTAAACTTTCCATTGCTTTCTTACTTTTCTCTTCTTCTTCCCTGGAATTTTCCAATTCATTTATGAGTTTGTTTTTTTCTTCTAACAGGGTTTGAACACTGGCAGCTGCAAGTTTCTCATTGTTCACGGACTGGGTTCTCTCATCCTTCACAGTTTCAAGCTCGGACTTTAGACAGTCGACCTTTTTTTCCATTTCAGCGGCTTCTTCCTTGGCCATATCAAGGCGGCGTTCAGATTCCTCAAGATCCCCTCTCTGTCGGCTAATTGAGATTTCCAATAAACCCACCTTCTCTTTAAGAGAAACAATTTCAGATTCTGAATCGTGCAATAAATCATTGCTTCCCTCTAGTTGTTTCATGACCAACTCCAATGACTCTGACACAGATCTCTCCAACCGTTTTGCTTCCTCAGCCTGGGCCTCTAAATCCTCAACCTTTTTCTGCCACTCCTCCACTAAATTGCGTGCATATGATTCAGCCATTTTTGCAGCCTCCAGCTCAACATTAAGTTGTTCTATGGAAGCCTCTCTTTCCACCAAATTCTCCTCATAACTCCTCATTTTCTCAAGTTCTCGCTTCAGAGTCTCTATCTCAGAATTCAGCTCAGAGACCAATCTGGTGTTCTCATTGGCCTCCATTTCAAGCTTGGAATCAAGCAAGGCCTTCAACCGGACCAACTCGGCTGAGAGAATCTCTACCTTCTCAACATGAATCTCAGCAATCTTAGTTGCATCGTCAGCATGGCTAAGTGCCTGGTTCTTTGCATCACAAGTCATGGCCAGTTCCTGCTTAACCCTTTGGATCTCCTGAGTAGCAGAGAGAAGAGCAGCCACGTCCAAAGCATGTTGGTTCCTCACAGCTTCAATCTCTTTCTGCCACTCCTCTTCCTTCTTCTGAGACGCCTCAATTCCGGCTTGTTCCATTTCAACAGCCCGGAACTTTTCAATCTCAGAATTTTCTTCGGCTCGTTTTTGAGCCACCAAAGCCTCCCTGAGTTTCTCATTTGCTTCCTCCGCCAATCTCTGGGCTTCTTTTAATTCTTCATTTGCCTGAGCTTTTTCTTTCTCAACCAAAACCAATTTCTCCTGTGCCTTCTTAAGATCTTCCTGAACAAGACTCAATTGAGCCTGTAATTCCGATCCTTTCAATACCCGTGTGGGTTGTTTCTGAAAAATCAAAATCAAGATAGAATGCAAATCAAATGTTACACTCAATTCACAACTTAGCCATGTCTACTAACAAATAAAAGGATTTGATTTTAAACCTATTCTTTGGAGTTTGAAAACAAGTTGTTTTTCCTAATTCTGTTGATACGAAGTATATGGAATTTAAATTTACTAACAAATAAAAGGATTTGATTTTAAACCTATTCTTTGGCAAACAAGTTGTTTATGGAATTTGTGGATATGAAGTACATGGAATTTAAATCCAACCCCAAATTTATAGGTCTATGAAGCAACCAAACACTGCATTGTGAAAATTCATAGTATGGTGATCTTACATCAGGAGGGGTAGCGAGCCTTGGAGAGCGGCGATCAACGGTAGGCTTGGAATTGGCAGATCTCGGGGACCGATCAACTGAAAGGCGTGAGTTTTGCAGAGGAGAGGGTGAATCAGCATCAGATTTAGCCACTCCCCTACTTAATTTACTGACCCTAGGAGTTGCTGGCGATGCTTTGTTGTTGGAAGGTTCAGATAAAGAAGACCTGTTCAATTTTAAACTTCATAACTATGAGAACCCATTTCATAATACAGACAATGCAGGAAACACAAACACAATTCCTAAGAATAGGGTGCAAAGGGCATAGAGATAAAGATGGATCAGAACCAAACATGGACATTAGCATCGTTTCACAAGCAACATCTAATACAACAAACTACACAATATATATATATATACATACAAATTTAGCCTGAAAATTAGTGCACAAAAAGAAAAGATTCAAAGTCAGATCCAAACAATCAATCAGAGCATCAACAGAAAAAACCCAGAAGAACTAGGGTCAAATACTAAAAAAAGAATAAAATCAAGAAACCCCCAAATAAGTCAGAAAGCAGATCAACCAACAAATCAGAAAATTAGAAGAAAACTAACCAAATAAAAAGATCAAGCAAAGAACAAAGTAAACATGGTAAAACCCAAATCAGATATAAAGAAAACAAGTTTAGAGAGAGACAAGAGAGAGTACACTTACTTGGATTTGGAAGACATGATTGGAGGATACTTGTTGCAGAGAGAGAGAGAGAGAGAGAGAGAGAGAGAGAGAAGAGAAGAAGGTGAAATGCCTTGAATAGAAGTGGGAGAGGATTGCTGCTACAATGCTGACATTGTAAGAGAATATGTTTGTGAAAACTGAGAGAGAGAGAGAACTATCCACCAGAAGACAACATAGAGTAGTAGTAGTAATAACAAATAATTAGTAGATAGAAGGGATGAATTTACAGAAAATTATTTAGGTAGGTGTTTGTTGTTCTGTCTCCAGAGTGGCTGTAAATTGAGAAAGTAGCCACTAGTCTCTCTCTCTCACACACACTGATCATATGCCATAACACTTTATTAACTTTTTTGCAGAGAAAGAGAGAGGGTGGGGCAAAGAAGAGCAATGTGTGAGAGTACCAAACTACCCCCCCATTTGCCATCTCCATTCATTGTAAACACTACCGTCAAAGAGAAAGTTGGACTGTTTGCTGTTCTTGTTTAGGATATGCTTCATGCTCCCCCCGGCATTCTTGTCTTTTTGTTCTTTTCCTACAGGAAAAGTGCCTACTAGTCTAAAGATAATGGTTGAAACATTTTGACCCGCTTCATTTTATTTATTAACATAACATAATATTTATCATATTTTTATATTGTATTAATACTAGAATGTTGGTCAATTGCTAGTGTAATAAAATTAAAAAAAATTATTGTTCATATATTTTTTTATAAAAAATTATTAAGAAAATTAATTCTCAAACGAATTATTATTATTTTATATATCAATTATTGTAATGTTTCAGAACGTTGCGCATAGTCTCAGGGACATCTTCCATGACCAAATTCAAGAAAAGCTTGTCTTTACTTCTTGTAGAAAAGAAACAGTGTTTCAAAGAAATCACATTTGGGTGATCCATCAAACGCATTAACTGTAGCTCATGATTTTTGTACCGCCTGTCCTGCAAGACCTTTTTCATGGCCATAGTTTCTCCAGTTTCCAAGCATTTTGCCTGAATGAAAGCGAATTCAGGGGGGTCCGGAAGGAGCCGGGAGAAGAGGTTGAGACTCCTTGAGTGGCGGTGAGGTTTGGTGGAGGAACCGGATTCGGCGGCGGCATTTGATGGAGAGCTGATCGGCGTTCTCTTCGTGGTTGATTTGAAGGCCGATGTCGCCATCGCTGATCAGGAAGGGACTGTTTTTCCCAGAATGGAGAGAATGGAGTAGGTGATGACGATGATGAGGATGAGTAGGAGAGAAAGGACTATTTTTCCGATCATCTTCATTTTCTCTCTCTAGAAAGCTCTGGGTTTCTCTCTCTGTATGTATGTATGTATATGTCTGTGTGTAGTGAACTCTCTGTGTGTGCGTGTTTGATCGTGGTGATGAGTGAGAGTAAACAAAAGAAAGGGGGCTGAATTTTTCTGTGATAGATGAGAGGGACACATAAAAAAATAATATTGTGGATATTTTTCATTACTAAAAATGGGAGAGGAACTTTAGACTAATTTTTCCTATATTTAATACAATAAGGATAAAATGGTAGAAATAAATAATCATTTAAGGATTGGTTTGAGAATCGATTATTTTAATAATTTTTAATTAAAATATGAGGTAAAAAAAAATTAGTATGTTTAGAATGATTTTTTAATTTTTTATGAAAAACATATAAAAAATAGAGATAAAAGAAAATATTTTTATAACTGGGTGCTTTTTTAACTTTTTTAATGACATTTTGACGTTTTGACTATTATTTTAAGTTCCCAAATTTACTAAGAAATAAAAATAAATACAATTAAAAAATGAGGTATGTGTGAAGGTTTTTTTTTTATTTTATTTTGTGCCAATGCGAAAACTTCTAATTCATGTAAGAAAAGCATAATATCAAAAGGAAAAAATTTGAGCTACGTAGCATTGTCGATATCAAAATTATAAATGATAACTCTGACCCTGAAGGTCGATCTCACGGTGCCTCTCTGGAACTTATTTTTAAATTTGGTCATATAAGTTTAAAAAATTGTATGTGTTACATCATCAATTTTAATAATTGAAAGTATTTCTCTGGAACTTATTTTTAAATTTGGTCATATAAGTTTAAAAAATTGTATGTGTTACATCATCAATTTTAATAATTGAAAGTATTCTATTGATTAAAAGATCAAAAATAATTTTTCTCCCGAATTTTGACTCCCCGAATCCCCCGACTACCCAAAACGACGTCGTTTTGGGCAGTTTTTTTTTTTTTAAATGAAGGATTGAAAATGAAGGAGAAGAGGGAGAGAAGAGAAAGAGGGAGAGAAGAGAGAAGAAGAGAGGAGAAGAGAAAGAGGAGGGGAAGAGGGAATGGAGAGAGAGGGCCCCTCCGATTGCAGCTCGTCGTCGCTCGTCGCAGCTCGTCGGCCGATCGTCTCCGCCCCGCCTTCGCCTCTGACTCCTCCCCCTGCCCAGCCCGGTTGATGTTGGCTCCTCCAATCCAGTCCTTCTTCTTCTTCCTTCTCTTCTTTTGCTTCTTCTTCTTCTTCTTCTCAAATTAGGGCGATTCGCGCGCGGCGGGGGGAAGGGGAGGGCTTTTCGAGCTACATATCACTTCTCTTAAAAGATTACAATCATGAGCATAGCTACATTAGCATGTGAATTGATTTGAACACATTGAAATTTGAGAGATAATTGGGATTGATTCATTATTTTAACTAATATTTTGTAATCTCCTAGGATAATTCAAAAACTTAAGTGAAATTTTGAAATTTTATTAAAATAATCCCACTAAAATATATATAGTTGAAGAGAATACCAAGTTTTAACATAAAAAAAAAAAAAGTGTTGAAAAAGTTTTCTAAAATATTATTCTTGTTGAAAATTTAATTCAAAATAAAAAAATAAAATATGATATTTTTAACATTTTGCATTTTTGCTCTTTTTTTTTCTTCAATAAGTTAATATTAATGTATTGATTATTCATTGAATCAAATGATAATAAATCCTGACTCCATCACTAAATACAATAAAAATATCAAGAAATGAATATACATACACATGCTAAATGAATAACCAAAATTAATACTATAGCCAATTTCATCACACCTTTTGATCTAGTTGGATTAAACATTAAGGTAAAAATTTAATTGTATGACAATCATATACAGGTGATAAGGCACGTACCTCAATTTGTATGCAATGTTAAGATTAATAAATAAATAAATAAATGCTCATGTCATGAATGAATATAGGAGGTCAACATCATGATAACATTTTCCAATTGTCAAATGGCAGTCCCAACGTCCGGGCATATTTCAAACATTGTATAATTCTCCTTTTATCATACAAAGCAAAATCAACCCTAAAAATAACAACTTTCAAAAAAATAATAATAAAAATAAAAACTACCAAAAAATATAATATATATCTTTCTTAAATTAATGATACATCATGTGCAACTCCTTCGAGTCCCCACTTGGAGAGGGTCCACCATAGTTGGTCTCACTATATTAGTTTTTCTTTTTTACAAATAAATATTAAAAAAAAAAAACTCATATTTATCCTTTATGTATTGTCAATTTATATCAAACTCTACTCTTTAATAATAAGCATAGGTTGCATGACTTATAACTTGAGTGAGCTCAATTCGAGCAATTTGAGTTCAGTTTATAATTTTTTAAGGTTTAGATAATATATTTTTAAATTTGGTGAGGATTTGAGTATAAATTTCAAAACTCAAATTAAATTTGAGATGAGCTTGGGTAGAGACACAAACAATCCAAATAACCAAAAAATAGAAATATATATATTAAATATACATATAAATTATTAGCCATCAAATAATATATAAATAATTTGAATCATTAAATTATATTCCCTATATATGGGTAATGCTTGAGGTATGTGAAATTTTAGGTAATTACATTATTCATATCGTACACATAACTCAATTCAAATTCTTATTGAGAAAGTAATGATAATTCCTTAGAGTCTAGTAAGGATAATTCCTATTGCTCATCTCTTTCTTTTTCATTTCTCTTGCATTATATAAATTATTTTTTAAAATATTATTAATGATTTATCAAAAAAAAAATGTAAACATAATATAATTTTAAGAAATTAATCAACTTAGTTGCCAAAAAAAAAAAAATCAAAATTTTTGACAAATTTAGGCAATGCAAGCCTAACTTGTGTTGAGCTTACGCAGGCATAATCAAGTTGTAAATTCAGCTTGGACTGGGTTGAATAACTCTCAACACAACTTCGATTAGGCCTAAATAACTTATCAACCCTCGAGTTGCACCCCTACTTTTAGTAATCAATAATGTTATTTGTCCAAAAAATTTATTTAAAATTTTTTATCAATGGATTATATTAATTCTTGGAGTAACCCATATCACATTAATTTAAATTTACGCTATACACCTCATAATTAAGTTAATTTTTGAAGTATAAATTTTAAGTATGTAGCATTTTTCTTAAGTAATATTTTCAAAAAAACATGAATGTTTTTTGTTTTTTGCTTTAGTTTGGTAACAAGAAACTGTTAGGACATTAAAAGTGAAAGACCAAATGCCATTTTGGCTTGTAATGGTGCAACTATAATATTTTTTTATTATTACTTTTTTTGTGCACTAGATGGGAAGAGGAAATTAAACCCCTCAACTCCTAATAAGATAGATAAATTCTAGACCGAGTCATAATATATATACAAAAAAATTGTACAGAATTTTTATATAAATTAATGTGCATTTTTTGTATTCTTTTCATTCCAAATTAAAACATTCATTATTTTGACTTACACTTTCAAAAATATCACTATCACACCACTTTAAATATGTATATATATATATATATATTGTATAAAAAATTTATTTGTAAATCACTCGTTATTCACATCCCAAAGGGGTAAAATCGTCAAAACACTTTATTCTTTGTCTTAGCCTTTACACTTTTTAGGGTTTTTTTTTTAACACTATTTTAGCTTAATTAAAAAATTTAATTTGAAATGAAAATAATTTACTGTGTTTGGTTTGAGTTTTCTGAATTAAGTTTTTTGAAAATTGACTTTTTTAGTTTTTGTGTTTTTTTGTTTTTAGTGAATATTTTTTAAATTTTAAACATTTTTTTTTACTTTTTTAGATGCACCTTACTTAAATGTATCTAAAAAGTAAAAAATTTGTGAAAAAATATTTTAAAAAATTAATAAATACATAAAAATACAAAAAATGTATTGAATTCTTGTATTTTTTTTATATTTTTGGTATTTCATGAATTTTTAAAAGATTTTTTTTACAATTTTTTTACTTTTTAGGTGTATTTATGTTAAGTGTGTCTAAAAAGTAAAAAAAATACTTAAAATATTAAAAAAAATTCAGTAAAAATAAAAAAACACAGAAAATAAGAGAGTAGAATTTTCTGAAAAGTGTTTTAGAAAACTGGAAACCAAGCACTTTTTGTTTCTTTTAA